CCTCTCCCCTACCTCCCTCTCAGGCCCTGTGTTTGCTCAGGACCCGAGCCCCTGGGCAGAGAGCACAGAAATATTTGTTTATGTCACTGCCAGCCTGCCTCCTGGAGGCCCCCCAGGGGGACCATGCTGAGAAGTCCACTTACATAACCCTGCGTCCACACAGCAGAAGGAAAAGGAAAAAACAAAAAACTTTCATCTTAGACATATTTCGAAACCGGACAGCTTGACGTTTCCCTGTCTTCCTCCTCCTCACCTCAGCACCGTTGCTGACTTCAGTCTTGATTCTGGTGCAGCTGGGCGTTTGGCGGGGAGGGAAGCGAAATATGTTGAAAGGTGCTGTGTGCCCAACACCACCAGGGCCTTCAACCGTAATCACACGAAGGAGGCCTATTCTTACCTCCATTTCGCAGAAAAAGAATGGAAGCACAGAGGGGTTAAGTGACTTTCCAAAGGCCGCCCAGCACAGCCAGGCCACTCTGGCCCTGACGCTTGGTTTTCAGACACCTCACTGTGAATCTGCAGATCGGGGATTCTTGAGGGAGCAGAGCATGTTCGCTTCTCCCTGCGGAGGCTTAGAGTTTCCGGCGCATCTCCTCTTCACTCTGGCCTTCCCTGGGTGCTGTTCCTGGCCGTGCTGGGTCCCTCACGACCCCATCCTCTCACCAGATCCCAAACTTCTCTGCCTGATGTTTCCACGCTCTTGTCCCAGGCTCACTCTAGACTGTAGCTCTTCCTTTCTCTGCCTTACATAATCCCAGTAAAAAATCCGCTGCTCACCCACTGAGCGGAGCAGTGAAGGGGAGAGGTGGAAAGCGTGAACCCTGGCCAGGCGCAGTGGCACACACGTAATCACCGGTACTTGGGAGGCCGAGGCAGGAGGATCTGAACGCCAGAACATTCCATCCAAGTTCTGCCTACTCCTGTCACTTTCACCCCAACACCCACTAGCGAGTTATCTGACCTCTCTGAACCTGTTTGCTCACCTGTGAGGAAAACTTATGGGCGATTCTTACAGGACGAAATGACTTAAACCAATGTAGATGGGCGTCCGAACAAGAAACCCGTCGGGGTCGGTAGAGAGGCTCTCGGCACACAGACAGCCAGCGCCCATTAAATGCTCTTACTCTCGTTGCCTGTGTATGTCAGACTCCCTGGGTTCACGTTCTGCCCCCACTTGGAACTTCGGCCCAGAGACTCCACCTTCCCGGGCCTCACCTGGACACTTAGATGGTAACGTGACCCCGGGTGAGGACCGGCTCAGCTATAGTTCTCAGCAGGGGGCTAGGACTGAGCAAATACGGGCTATGACGATGTCGCTGGGATTCTCACCATGCAGCTGAGCACACGGTGTCACACGATGCCACTCAAGCGCTACCCCTCTCGGGACCTCTCTCCAAGCTCCGTGGCTCTCAGCCGTCTCGCAGTGTCACACCTTCGCCACGGTGGCGACCGCATGGGGGGCAGTGGACACAGGTCAGCCAGCGACTACTGAACACCCTCCACTCGTCTTCTCAGCAGTGCATTTATTTGTTTCATTGAACAACTGTGTCTTCACACCTGCAGTGTGCCAGAAGCATGCAAGGCACCAGGGATTAAGAGGTGAAAAAAGATGCTGGCTGTAAGCACTGGTGAGAGAGGAATGCAGCACTATGAGAGGGCACAGCATGGGGACTGGCCTGACACTGGGTTAAAGCATCAGCAACATCAGTAGGGGAGGAAAGAATGATGTCCTGGGACGTGCAAAGGCCCTGGGGCAGGGCTGGGGAGTCCCTGGAGCCCAGACTCTTTCTATCTTACCACACCATCCTGGGCCTTTACAAAGACATCATTTTCTTGGATGGAGTCCTCATAGCATAAGGACAAGACAACCATGCCATTTCAGAGCTGAGGAAGCTGAGCTTGGAGAGGGGACAGAAGTAGCTGCCCAAGTCCCTTGGCTAATCAGGGAGAAGGGTGGGAACCAGCCCCTGACCTGCTCTTTCCCTATCCGACCTTCCCTGTATCCCCTTGGCCTCTCCCCTCCCCGTGGCCCACTCCCCAAAGGGCTCCTACTTCCTTCTCTGCCCAGACTCCCAGCCCCCAGGATGCCCAGGTCTATGCAGTGTCCACGTCCTGCCTCAGCCCAAGCCAGGGGTGGCGCTGTGCCAGGGGAGAGAGCACAGGTCTGTATGAAGCGTGAGTCCCCCAACAAACGCCCCTTTGTGTCCCAGGCACTGTTGTGACTGGCCACCGGCCAGCTCTCACCGCAGTGCCTGAACGGCCTGGGCAGCTGGGCTTGGGCAGGAAAGGAAGGAGGGAGCCCTGTGGGACGGGGGGTGCGATGGGCAGGGCCATGTGCCGAGCTGCACAGGAGGCTCAGAGGCACGGGCGGGAGAGCCCGAGAGGGAGGTCACTGGGTCCCAGCCATCTGCTTTGGAAGCAGATAGTTGTTTGTTTTTCTTGGGGGGGCAGGTACTGGGAATCGAACTCAGGACCTTGTGCTTGCAAGGCAGGCGCAGTACCTCTGAGCTAAATCCCCGGCCCCCCGGCCATCTGTTTTGTCAGGCAAAATGAAGTCCAGGCAGAACAAGTGACTTAGCGGCAGTCACGCAGTCATAGACAGGGACAGACCTGAGCCTGGGACTCCTTACCTGCAGCCGGGATTCTTAGCCCCCGCATCAGGACCCTAATGCAGCCCTGCTAGTAGGTAACACCATCAGGTCCATAGACCAGGGCAATAGGGTCCGAGAAAGAATGCCGCATGTTAAGATTACAGAGCAATGCCGCTGCCTGCCTCACAAGCTCAGGGTCCCAAGTTCGATCCCCAGTATCAAAAAAAAGAAAAATAAAAAGATTACAGAATACTAGAGATCCCAGCACGCTAGAAGGCTGAGGCAGGAGCATTGCAAGTTCAAGCCAACCAAGGCAATTTAGTAATTTGAAGTGAGCCAAGCCCCTGGAAAAGGCAGGATGTGAACCCAGAGAATCAAAAGACAGGGGCGGAAAATTTAGCTCAGTGGTGCTGTGCCACCTGGCAAGCGAGAGGTCCTAAGTTTGATTCCCAGTACTGGAGGGGAAAAAAACGGAATCAAAAGCCAGACCATATAAAGGAATATTAGGGATAAACTCAGATTTATGGAGTTTCTAAGAAAGCAATAGCCTTGATTGATTGTTGTTGTTTTGAGACAGTGTCTTGCTATGTGGTTTGGGCTGGCCTTGAACTCACTATGTAGCCCTTGCTAGCCTCAAACTCACGGAAGTCCTCCTGCCTCAGCCTACTGAGTACTAGGATTACAAGCATGAATCCCCACTACCAGCTTGGCTTTGATTCTTAACTAAATGAAACAGATAGGGGACAGCCCAGGGGCACTGGTCTGAGGCCATTGCAGGCACTCCTCTGGCTTTGCATTGTTTCCTGCCCTCTCTCCTCTAGTTTTTCCCCCCAAAAGTTTTCATTTTCTTTGTTCATGGTGTACAGAACTCAGCTACTCATTCTTCTTTTAATTGGTAATAAATAGGAGTAAGCCAGAGACCTAGTACAGAGAGAGCAGCAGGGGCCTGGGAAGGCACAGGCCGGTCTGGGCTCCTGCACACCTCCCTGCGGTGCTTCCCTTAGGGCTGGCTGGGTTCTGGCTGTGGTTGCTGCTGATCTTGCTCTGGAGGAATCAGGAGCTCTCCAGCAAGAACCTCTTCTCTCTGTGTGTTCCCGGGAGCCTCAGTTTCCCCGTTGGTAAAGGAGAAGGCAGTAGACTCTGTCCTTTTCAGACTGGGTTACCACGGAATGTTTGTTCCCTTGTGGAAGGGCTCAGTTTTCTGTCCTAAGTATCCCCTGCTCTCTGACAGAAGAGGAGAGCCACAGTCAGCCCGGACAAACATCAGAAAGTTACGGGTTTCGTCTTGTTTTGCGGCTGCAGAATCCCTTGCTTCCCCCTCAGCCCCTCTGTCAGACTGGTTGCCCCCCATGTGCCTCCCTGGGTACACACACACACACACGCACACGCACACGCACACGCACACACCCTGGCCCTGCTTCTCCCTGTTGGAACCCCTGGGTCCCCTGCCCTCCCTCACTCTGACCGGTCCCCCACCCCCGCTGTTCCTGAGGGCGTGTTGTTTCTTTCTTTTTCTTTTTTCTTTTCCTTTCTGTTTTTGGTACTGGGGATCAAACTCTGGGACCTTGTGCTTGCGAGGCAGGCTGCGGAACCACTGAGCAACATCCCCAGCCCAAGGGCGCTGTTCCAAAGCCTGAGTGTCTGAGGGTGTCGGCCTCTACCCTCACACTCACTGTGTAATGTGGCTGCTGGTGCCCTGCCAGGCTGGGCAGAACCATTTCCAGAATCTTGCAGCGTGGTCTCAGAGCTTCTAATGCTGCTGCTGTCAAAACCAGTGCCATTCTGGTTTCATCTGAGGGCTGATCTTTTTTTAAAAAATTCTTTCTGGGGGCTGGGGATTGGCTCAGTGGTTCTGCCACCTGCCTCGCAAGCACAAGGGCCCCAGTTCAATCCCCAGGACCAAAAACAAAGAGAAAAATAAAAAAATAAATATTTCTGGATTTTTACTACTAGGAGGTTGAACCTCTGGGAATAATCCATTTTCACTACTTTCTCTCTTTTTATCTTTTTTTGTTCCACTTTTCTCAACATTCTACCCCTCCTATTGATCATTTACCCCTTTACTTGTGCTGGAAATTAAACCCAGGGCCTTGACAGTGAGCTGCCTCTTCACCACCACCCCCTTTTTTTTTGAGACAGGGTCTCATTCTGTAATTCAGGCTGTCCTCAAAATCACTATGTATCCAGACTGGCCTGGAACTCATGAAGATCCTCCTGCCTCAGCCTTCCAAGTACTGGGATTACAGGAGTGCACCACTCCTAGTTGTTTTTTATTTTTTTATTTTGAGACAGGGTCTTACTAAATTACTCAGGCTGGACTCAAACTGGCAGTCCCCTTGACTCAGCCTCCCAGTGGCTCTTTTGTCATAGTTTAAATATCCCAGAACATTCCTTTCTTAGAGCAGCCTGTTCTTGTATAGATGCAAATCTTATCTGTCTAAGGACAGAGATGTTTTCTTCTGCTCTCTGTACTGTCTGTGTTTTAAACACTTCCATTTGTTGATTGGTCTTGTTCACTGTCTACTCATCATACTTGTGGCTTTCTTACCTTCCAAAGGTCTGTTGATGTTTGGTGATCTGTTCTTAAAGAGTAAGGTCCTAAACACTCCTTCGTGAGGGAGAGGGAGCTCACCGGAGCCCCAGATGTGAGGGTGGTCTTGTCATCTAGTCCCTGCCTGTGGACTGTGTGGGCAGAGTCTGGTCTTTTCCATCTCACTTAGGCTCTGTAGGTCTGCTGTGGTTGGCCGCTCAGTTTCTCAGAGCCTAATCTGGACTGCAGGTTGGAAGTATCGGCTTTTCCCACACTGCCTTCTTGCTGCTCTGGCAGCCCCAGGGCTTAAGAGGGCTGGGTGAGCCCTGCAGAGTGGAGTCTGGGCCTCCTCTCTGCCTTATCACCAACCAAAGATTAGCCCGGGGCACCTCTGGGCACCCTGAGTCCAGGCCCTTGTTTCTCAGACAGATGTGCATATCCTGGGGATCTGCCCAGGGATCCTCAGACAGGTTCTGACCCTGCAGGCCGAGGGACCTTGCATTTCACGTTCCTAAAAGATCCCCCGCGGTGCCGATCCCTGTCCACACTTGAGACCGTCGGGTTCTGTGAGAGCTATCCAGGGGCGCTTTTTGTGCTGCTGGACTTGTTCAAGCCTGTGCTGCGCAACGCAGGAGCCACTGGCCAGCACGGACGCAGAGCCCTTGATGTGTAGCTGATGTAACCGAGGCACTTGGCCTCACTTTTCTTTTAAATTTGAACGGCCACGTGCAGCTGTCATGCAGTCCACGTCCTCCTGAGTCACTCTGCCGACGGGGGAGAACAAGGACCCATGGCAGCGAGGGCAGAGGAGAGACAAGGGACAGTGCTGAGCTGCACCTTAACTTTCTTTTTTCTCTTTGCAGCCGCACGTGGCACTGACTGTGGTGACATCTGTTGTCACCCACCCCTGAGTTTTGGGGGGTTCTTCCTGTGTGCTCAGCTCTCCTGACTTCCCCAGGCTGGGGGTTTGGGCCTCAGCCTTTCCCACACCGCCCTCTGCTTTTCCAGCTTTCACATCAGGGTGGCCTCTCCCCAGTGTGCTCACCCTCGCTGGTGTCCCTTTGTCCTTGCAGGTCACGGGGGTCAGTCAGTGTTTCAGGACAAGGCAGAGGTAAATACTTGCGCTCTATTTGCTTTGTTTCACCAGAAGTTTTTTGTGCATTTTTTTAAAGGTCAAGGTGGACCCAAATGTTGTTCCTCTCGATAGTTTCTCTCGATGCAAGGCAAACCAGAATCTGTCCCCCTTGTGTGTAGTTTTCCTTCGGGGCAGGAGATTTGTTGTATCCAGTAGCCTGGAGACACCATTTCTTCTGAGGTTTAGTTTTCCTTCGGGGCAGGAGATTTGTTGTATCCAGTAGCCTGGAGACACCATTTCTTCTGAGTCACGGCGGAGCCTGAGAGTCGCTGGACAGAGTCTGGGGACAGAGGCCCAGCTGACCAGCCGGGTGGAGACAGGACCGATGGCGCTCCTGGTGGCCTGGGCTCCTGAGACACCTTGCGAATCCGACCTGGGCAGGGAGCGAGGCACAAGATGAGAGGCCTCCCAAACCCTTGGCAGAGAAGAGACTCGGAAAGGAAAAGGTGACAATGGCTATGAGTGAACTGGGAAAATGGATTAGCTGTCCCCAAGGATGGGACAGAATCCTGGCTGGAGGGGCCCGGTGGGGTGCTGTCATCCTCAAGACCGGGCAGAACGCCAATGCGGTGGAGGTCAGGCTGGAGGGGGGCGCTGCGAAGTTCATGAAAGCAGCTTTTTCTCGGCCGAGAAGGAATCTGCCCACCCCGTTGCCTCCTGAGCCCCTGCCCACGCCCCAGGCCCAGCCGGCCCGGGCTCAGGACTGTCCTGCTGCAGCCATAGAACTCCGGATCCTCGTGCTGCAGTGCTAGCGCCGACCGCCCCCGTCCGATGCACTTGTGTCCCCTCGGTGCCTGGCCGCGTTGTGTCTGTGCTCAGGCCATGTAGACGAGGCAGGAGTGGGGGCAGAGCATGGACCTTGGGATGAGACAGAGAAGAATCCAAATCCTGTGTAACAGGCTGTGTAACGGCCTCCTAAACACGCCCACGTCCCAGTCCTAAAGCCTGAGACTTAGTTTACAAAGCAGGATTGCATTTCACATCTCTAGGTGGAGGGTGATCCGGGATTCAAGCCATCACAGAGGTCCTTATAAGGTGGGTGGGAGGGTGGAAGAGAGATGGGTTCGGCACAGCCAGCTTGCAGGTGGAAGAAGGAGCTGCAGGCAGCTTGCAGAAGCCGGGAGAGGCGTCCAGTCCAACTTCACGGTGCGCTGGCAGGTGCTGTGAGCAAGTAGCCTGACGTGTCTGTGCCTCAGCTCCGTCATCTGTAAAATAGGGGGAACATTTATATAAGTTCCTAGCGTGGTAACTGCTAGTAGTAAGCACTTGTTAAATGCTACCTAGTAGGCCTGTAACTCCACCTACCTGGGAGGATGAGGCATGAGGATCTCGAGCTCAAGGCCAGTTCTGGGCGACTTAGTGAGACCCTGTCCCGAGCTAAAAACCAAAAACAGGGCTGGGGATGTAGATGTAGCTCAGCACCCCCCGGGTTCAATCCCAGTACCTGCTTCCCTCCTCCGAAAAGAAAGATAGCGATTGCGTTTGGGTCATCGTCCTCTTCATCTGCATCATCGCTTGTCTGTGCAGGTGCAAGTCCAGCCGGGACCTTTTCCGTCTTGTCTGGACCTTCTCGGAGGCAGGGCCTCACAGCTTTACCCCGTGGTTCTCAGCCAGGGGCAGTGTTGCTTGTGTTGCTTCCCATTTTGGTTGTCACCACTGGTGTAGTAGGTCGAGGTGGCAGGGGATGTTGGTAAACGTCCTAACCCTAACGTACAGAATGATGCCCTGAAGGGTTACCTGGCCCCAATGTCAACAGAGCCCTACCTGGGAAACCCAGCCGTTCTCTGAGGCCATTCTCTTGGGCTCAGAATATCAACAGGCAGGAAGAGTAACGAGCAGAGTCCTTCCTCAGCAGGCCCGCTACCCCCAGAGTCCCCCAGGGCTCCTCTCTCACTTGCTCCTACATTTGGGACAAATCACTTAACCTCTTGAAGCCTCTGCTTCCTGTCAACAAAATGGTGGTCCTAGGACCTCCTTGCCGTACGGATGGACATGAAAACAACAGTGCCTGGTACTTTGTGGCCCTTAAATGTGAGCTCCCTTCCCTGGCTGACTAGAATGCCAGTGTGGAGTTGTTATCCTCTGACACAGTCACTGAGAGGCATAAGCTCTTCAACCCCATGCCTTCCCCTTCCAGCCCCGCCCCGAGGACAGTGGGACACCCGGAGAAGCACACAAGAGCTCCTGTGGCCTCTTGGAACTCTTGAGAGCTGGGCCGGTGGGTTAGGGTCCAAACGCTGAAGGGCGCATGGACGCCCCAGGCCACATTCCAGCACTCACTAATCTCAGCCAGGGCACAGTCTGCCTGTGGCCACTGTCATCTGAGATTTCTAATTTTAACAGTGCACACAGATCTCGGCACATCTGCAGGTCTTAGGTTGGAAGCTTGAGTCCCCCTTCCCTGCAATGCAGGCCACAAAGCGCAGAGAAGCAGGGGACAGCCGAGCCGTTCTGTACCAAGGCAGGGCAATGCTCCCGACTGCGGGCCCCTGCTTCTCTCACAGGACTCTAACAGGAGTCGGTCAGGGCTGGGGTGGGCATGGGGAGGAGGAGGGTGATGCCCTGTGAACACTGACCGGAGGACAGGGTCTAGAGAGTGACGACTCCATTCCTCATCTTCTTTGAGCTCGGGAATTTTCTCAGCGCCCTCGGGGTGGAGCAGCCCTAGATTACAGAGTCATGGGCCAGAGGAGCGGGTGGCAGGGTGGGAATGTGCCCACGGTGAGTTGTGGCAGAAGCGCGAGCGGACGTGGGAGGACGCAGGGAGAACTGGGTAAACGAAGCAGAAATGTGCTTCTTCCTGGATTCTGAAAACTGAACCAAAGGACCATGTCTTTGGCGTGCAGTTGTGTTTGGCCTCCACGTCAGGGGAACTGCGCCGGACTTGGAGCCCATCTCAGGATGTGGGGCATGGTGGTACACGCCCATGACCCCAGCACACAGGAGGCTGGGGCAGGAGGATTGCCAAGAGTTCATAGTAAGAGCCTATCTCAAAACACAACAAAAACAAACACACGAAAAGCAACCAACCAAGCAAACAAACAAAATAACCAGAGCCTACTTTGGGAGTTATGAGACACAGCGGTACAGAGCCATCAGCAGACAGATCAAATGGGGTAGGAAGGGGTGGTGTGCGACCCCGAGGGAACAGAGAGGGCAGGAAGAGGCCACTTCGGGTTCAGGCACCTTGACTCACCGTGTACACCACAGGATGTTGGGAGGTGCCTTCCTCGGGTCCCTGTGTACTCCTGCCCATCAAACCTCTCTGTGTGGTATTCTCCTGGGACTGTTCCAGCCCCGACTGCCTTCCAGGAATGTGCTCACGCTGATTTCTCTCCTAACATCCCATGGGCCGATATTTACAAGGAAGGATAAGCTCTGGGACACACTGGCTCTTCAGTTAAGCTATGAATGACTGCCCAGTGCCCCAGGGCCAGGCTGGAAAGGAGCTTCAAGATGATACCATCACCCTATGGATTGTTTGGGGGAGCTGAGAATATTTTTCCCAGAAAAGAAATCCTCAAAAGTATGTACCATTGCTGTTTTCAAAGAAGAAATTTCCTCTTAAGAGTTCATTTACCAACCTACAACCAACTGCTATCGCCACCTACTGGTGGGAGGTAGCATTGTTGCCCTGAGATCAGCTACCTAACTCAGAACCACAGAAGTTTGAATTCAGCCTTTATGCGCAGAAGTGCTCTGAAACCTGACAGATTGTCATGTGGAAGGAATAGCAAAACAGTAGAAGACAACAGGACAAGCGGATGAACATCGCAAGGTGCCAACATGATGGGCAGTTTTCTGACAAAACATCTCAGTAATTTAGAGGACCGCCTTAGGAGTTAATAGTGAGACTCCTGTCTGGAGATGAGGCACGCTGAGTCTCCCATCCCCAAGGCGACTGGCAGAAATCAGTGTCAGTGTCTTAGTACATCAAGGGCTTTCTTTTTTATGGGGATACTGAAATACGTTGTATTATCAAGCTTTTTGAGAATATTTACAAAAAGTGGGATGTAACAAAAATATAAAAACTACACAGTGACATTATTGACTAATTTGTATGTTATCAAATGTTTCTAGTAAACAATTTTTTTTGGACACAGTCTCTCCATGAAGTTCAGGCTAGCCTTTAACTCACTATGTGGCTCCAGCTGACCTGGAACTCTTGGAGATCCTCCTGCCTCAGCCTCTCAAGTGCTAGGATTACAGGCATATACTACCATGCTCAGTGTAACAATTCTTTCTTATACAAACACAATTTGAGTTCAAGACATAAGGTCATCCAGGTCATACACTGGCTGGAGTAAAGACTTCACTCTAAATTATTTCATAGTGCCTCTATAAAATGTATTCAGAAAACTTTTTAGGCATTCAATAAAAGTAGTGCAATTAATCCCATGGCTTGTGAAGTTTGATTATGTAAGCATAGTAAATGAACATAATTCCAGTTACTATCACTGTGTGGAGCAAACCACAGTAGGTCCCCTAGTTTTAGAGGACCGCCTTAGGAGTTAATAGTGAGACTCCTGTCTGGAGATGAGGCACGCTGAGTCTCCCATCCCCCAGGCGACTGACAGAAATCGGTGTCAGTGTCTTAGTACATCAAGGGCTTTCTTTTTTATGGGGATACTGAAATACATTGTATTATCAAGCTTTTTGAGAATATTTACAAAAAGTGGGATGTAGCGCCTTAGGAGTTAATAGTGAGACTCCTGTCTGGAGATGAGGCACGCTGAGTCTCCCATCCCCCAGGCGACTGACAGAAATCGGTGTCAGTGTCTTAGTACATCAAGGGCTTTCTTTTTTATGGGGATACTGAAATACATTGTATTATCAAGCTTTTTGAGAATATTTACAAAAAGTGGGATGTAACAAAAATATAAAAACTACACAGTGACATTATTGACTAATTTGTATGTTATCAAATGTTTCTAGTAAACAATTTTTTTTGGACACAGTCTCTCCATGACGTTCAGGCTAGCCTTTAACTCACTATGTGGCTCCAGCTGACCTGGAACTCTTGGAGATCCTCCTGCCTCAGCCTCTCAAGTGCTAGGATTACAGGCATATACTACCATGCTCAGTGTAACAATTCTTTCTTATACAAACACAATTTGAGTTCAAGACATAAGGTCATCCAGGTCATACACTGGCTGGAGTAAAGACTTCACTCTAAATTATTTCATAGTGCCTCTATAAAATGTATTCAGAAAACTTTTTAGGCATTCAATAAAAGTAGTGCAATTAATCCCATGGCTTGTGAAGTTTGATTATGTAAGTGTAGTAAATGAACATAATTCCAGTTACTATCACTGTGTGGAGCAAACCACAGTAGGTCCCCTACAGACTCAATATTACTCCATTTTGTGTGTGTTGATAGACATACTGTTGAGAAACCTGGGGAAGCCATTCTCTATCACAGGAAATCCACTTATGAAAAGATTTCTTCCTGAGATCAGCTACCTAACTCAGAACCACAGAAGTTTGAATTCAGCCTTTATGCGCAGAAGTGTTCTGAAACCTGACAGATTGTCATGTGGAAGGAATAGCAAAACAGCAGAAGACAACAGGACGAGCGGATGAACATCGCAAGGTGCCAACATGATGGGCAGTTTTCTGACAAAACATCTCAGTAATTTAGAGGACCGCCTTAGGAGTTAATAGTGAGACTCCTGTCTGGAGATGAGGCACGCTGAGTCTCCCATCCCCAAGGCGACTGGCAGAAATCAGTGTCAGTGTCTTAGTACATCAAGGGCTTTCTTTTTTATGGGGATACTGAAATACGTTGTATTATCAAGCTTTTTGAGAATATTTACAAAAAGTGGGATGTAACAAAAATATAAAAACTACACAGTGACATTATTGACTAATTTGTATGTTATCAAATGTTTCTAGTAAACAATTTTTTTTGGACACAGTCTCTCCATGAAGTTCAGGCTAGCCTTTAACTCACTATGTGGCTCCAGCTGACCTGGAACTCTTGGAGATCCTCCTGCCTCAGCCTCTCAAGTGCTAGGATTACAGGCATATACTACCATGCTCAGTGTAACAATTCTTTCTTATACAAACACAATTTGAGTTCAAGACATAAGGTCATCCAGGTCATACACTGGCTGGAGTAAAGACTTCACTCTAAATTATTTCATAGTGCCTCTATAAAATGTATTCAGAAAACTTTTTAGGCATTCAATAAAAGTAGTGCAATTAATCCCATGGCTTGTGAAGTTTGATTATGTAAGTGTAGTAAATGAACATAATTCCAGTTACTATCACTGTGTGGAGCAAACCACAGTAGGTCCCCTACAGACTCAATATTACTCCATTTTGTGTGTGTTGATAGACATACTGTTGAGAAACCTGGGGAAGCCATTCTCTATCACAGGAAATCCACTTATGAAAAGATTTCTCGGGAGCCAGGGATTTGGCTCAGTGGGCACGGAGACTGCCTTGCAAGCACAAGGTCCTGAGTTCGATCCCCAGTACAAAAAAAAAAAAAAGATTTCTCAGACCAGGGATTTAGCTCAGTGGTGTTGCGTCTGCCTCAAAAGCGTAAGGTCCTGAGTTCAATCCCCAGTACCAAAAGAAAATTTCTCCCTTGTCATGGTGGGCTTGCTGGTGCATGCCTTGTAATCCCAGCACTCAGGAGGCTGAAGCAGGAGGATCACTGTGAGTTTGGTATTCTCCTGGGCTACATAGGGTCAAAAAAAAAAAAAAAGATTTCTGAAAATTAGCCCGGTTGTCTTTGAAATCAGTATGCAAGAGCAAAATACTGAAATATGTAGTCTGTCTGCCAGAGATGCAACTACATAGTACGGCGTAACGGCCAGGCGGGTTAAGGGGACTCTGGGATGATCCGGATCACACTGACCGCATAAACTTCGGCAGCATCAGAGACTTTAGTGGGTTACCTACTCTGAGTTGCAGTCGGCCATCTGTGGGGCATCTGCTGGGGTTGGGAGTGTGTTTTCTGTCTTATCCAGGCAGGACCTTGTAAGCCAGGCAAGGGGGGAGAGGGTACCGTGGGTGTAGAACAGCAGTGCGGC